CAGTCATATTTGCCACAGTTATATTCACTGACAGGAAAATGCATTAGTATTCCTGAGCCCTAATATAAAAACCTTAAAACTACATCATTACACAATCACAAAATTGTTGATGAGACCGTATCACATAGATCATGGCACTGATGTTCAACATAAAAGTGTATACAAAGCTTAACATACCACAGAGTTTTTTGAGCGTATGGTTGCCTGTGTCTCCTTGAAAAACAGCTCATAAGCTGTAAGAGGCCTAAACAATGAAGACAAAATCCGAAAACGTTAACTTTCAATCTACAAAAAACTCCCTTCTAAGTTAAGGGAATTCTCTAACTACATTGACCATCAATTGGAGAAGAGTGTTTTGGCAGGTTATTTCTAATGAATTATACAAAAACCAAAAGAAATTACGAGAAACATTTATTTGTAAAAAGGTCTTAATATTACATTCAACTATTTACGGTAAAGACAGAGTAATTTCACTAAATCAGTAAAGGAGCACCTAGCTACTAGCCTAGAAAAGTCCAAATTGAAAAAAAGAAAAAAAAAAGGAGAGAAAAGCAGCTGGGTAAGTTTCCCATAATACATGTAGCTGTACTTTCTGTTCAGTGAACTTCCCCTGACAGACCTTTCCTCAACCTTAGGGAGCAAATGCACAATCTAGTATCCACATTTTTCAAAACAAAACAACAGAAATGACAAAAACAAAACAACTGTAACAACCAAACAAAACATCTCCTATGACCAAAACAAAACCACCACTCTGACGCTGCAAGGATCAATGCAATTGATAAATAACTTTTTGTTTGTTTGTTTGTTACATGAGTGGAGGATAGAATGTAGCAGAAAATGTAAGGCTTTCAAACATTAAGGCCATCTCACAAAACTTCATCTTTTTTTCTACCACATGAGCAGTTGAAACTATAATTTGACACTAATAAGGTCTTATATGTAGTTTCTAGGACAGAACACCAGTCATATTAAATACCAAAGCCTATACAGAAAGGAGGAAGAAACAGATATTGGTATCCAACAACAACCTCTATGTCCATGTCTTTTTTTAAATTGAATTTTTGTAAATTAAGGTTTCCTTGACACCTCACACATATCCAGTGGCAAATGAGAGATAACTGAATTTTCCCATGAGGTTAACCTAGAGTAGACCATAATCAAAACAAGTCACATATGTTGGCTGATGTCTGACACCCCTAGGCATTCATTTTATTTCATTATTATTATTGACTATTGTTTAATTTTTTTTCCTTCGATTGTTTCAGTCACTTCCTTGTGGTCCTTACAATAGGTTCATTTTATTTTGATTATTTTGTTTTAGTCATTTCAGTGGTTTCGCTTGTTTCACTTGTTTTGTTTTGCTTTGCTCATTATGGTCATTTCGTTTTGGTCCTTTGGCTTGTTTCATTTTGTTTGTTCTGTTTTGCTGTTTCAGGTTTTAGTACATACCCATTACTGGGCTTCATTATTAGTCAGTTACTCATGCACTTACTTGTTGAGCTCCAGACCATCTTTTTCTCTCTTCTTACGCTTAGTTCCTTTATCTTTCTTTTTCTTTTTCTTTCTTTTAACATCATCAGCACCAGTCACCTTCTTTAGGCTTTCAGCAACTTGTGATAAAGGTGTACTGTCATCATCATCTTCATCATCACTGTCCTGGTGATTCCCACTAATCATTTGCTCTGTGCTAGAACTTAATGCAACATGTGGTGATGACATTTGGTCTTCTGCAGGACCTGGAGCAGATGGTTTGATGCTGGCTTGCGACACAGCCTGGCTTGTACCTGATGTTGATGACAATGATGACAATGTAGATGAGGGTGTAGCAGCAACCACTTGACTAATTGCAGTTGCCTCATTGACAAATGTTATTTGAACTACATTACCACTACCTGGCAAAGGTGTTTGTTGCAGAGGTATACTACTTGGTTGTGTTGATCCTATGGTCGTTGAACTTTGTTTCCCATGTGGACTATTTACAAACAACCCAGGAGATATTTTTTGCACTGTTGTACCCAGCTGCATAAAGGGTTCTGCATTATTTTGTGCTAAGATTGCTTCACCATTAACTCCACTTAAAGATAAAGGGTCAGATTTTGCATATGACAATAGATTACCAATGCTTGGATTTGAGATAGCTTCCAGTTGAGCATTAGCACCTCCATGTTGAGACAAAGATAACACATTCTTGGAATTCAAACCAGGATTAGCTGCATTCATTAAAGTCATTTTAGTTGGTTGCTGTTTCACTGACACAGGTGATTTAAGAGTTGAATTTGTATTAACTAATATCATTTTTACAGGCTGATTTGACGCAGCTACAGGAAGAGACGATTTGGTGACTTGTGAACTCTGAGCTCCTGATGTTGGATTTTGTGGAACAACGTAACAAATAAGTGGTTGACCAGTCTGAATATTTCCTGTTGATGCTACAATCTGACTAGTTGGTCCCTGTTGCTTAGGCTGTCCAATGGCTTTTACAAGCTGACTCAACAATGCAGGGTTTGATGTGAAAGCTTGTAACGGATTAGTTTGATTGTGTTTTACACCAGACTGGGTAGCAACTGGATTTATAATGGTCCCTTGCAAAATTTTCTGCGTAGACATGTTGTTGGGATTTGTACCAGAAACACCTATATTATGAGTAGCCATGTTTTCTCCCTGGATCTGTAGACTAGTTGATTGAACTACAGGTGCTGACGTGGTAATTCTAGAACCCTGAGAATGTACACCTGTTCCTTCCACATTACTTTTAATGGGAACATTACTCTGTGCTAACTTTGCTGAGTTTATCCCAAATTGAGAAAGAGATGACCCAGCTTTGTTACTTGAAGACGCAACAACTGACGGAACAGCCATTTGTAGCATCTTAGAACTTGTTAGAATCTGAGGGCTGTGTGAAGAAAATGTCCTTGTGGCTTTCACTGATGACTGAGAGGGAGACAACCCTCCCATATTCTGCATTGGAGAGCCAGGCTGCATACTAGGTGATGGGTGTCTCACAGATTGATTTGTGGACCTTACTGAAGCAGATAATTTTCCAGCATGGTTTGTTTGCTTTACATTGGGACTTGGACTTCTGGATGATGCAAGTGGACTTCCTGGACTACTGGCACTATTTAAAGGGCTTCCTCCTGTTACTACTCCAAGAGGTAGTGTATTTTTGACAGCTGAAACTGATGGAGCAACTGATAACTGTCCAGGACTTGATGAGCGAACAGGCCCGGAGGAAATGCCCTTTTGTAAAGCATCTGATGCCATCTGTAAATGAGCTGTTGAAGGATTTGGCTCCTGTGGAACTTGAGGTGTGAATACAATTGGCTCACTGACACCTTGAGGCATATCTCGCTCTACAATTTCGTCAATGAGTTGCTCAATGTTAGAGTCACTTCCCATTGACTGAAGCTGAGGATTCATGCTAACATTGTTCATAGAGGGAGGGAGGTTTGTCTGCACAAAGGAGGGCATCGGTGGTTGAACTGTTGCTGGCCTATTCAGATTTGCTAAAAGGGCCATTCTCAGAGGCTGCTGACCAACAGTAAAGGTTGAATGACCATGCATTGATCCAGGTGGTGTAATTGGTGGTAAATCAAAGTTTTCTGATGGAAAAGTTGGAGTTGGTGGCGTCCTAGAACGTCCTACAATACTCTGTGCATGAAGGTACTCCTGACGGATATCATTTAACAAAGAGCTAGGGTCTCCAGGAAATACTGGATTTATAGCTGAGGATTGTGCAACCTAAGAAAATTTAAAAAAGGTTAAAAATAAAACCTCTAGACTGTGCTGTTTAGTCTCCTTACTCATACAAAACTTTACAGATTTGCAAGTTGGGTGGGCATACCACTCTTAATCAGTAATAAGAGAGAAACATACATACAGGAAAATTGACTGCAGCTTTTGTTTACTTATCACTTGTTTCTTTAGCAACATTTGATGTTACAATGAGAAATCAGATGTGATTTGGCGGTGAGACAAAACCAAACATACAGGAAGTAATGGACATCATTTTGAAAGAAAATACTTTTTTCTTACTTGGGGTAAACTGACAATAGCTGTTCCAGGGTCACGGCTATGATGCAAGCTCCTGTCCAGGACCAGACCTTCATTCCCTCCACTGTTCCGAGAACTTGTTGCCGATGATTGTGTAGTGGGTGTTGAAACCACATTGGATCCTGCTACATTCAAACTTTGAAGTTGGTCAAACTCAATGTCCTAATCACAAAGAAAATTCAACATGAAAATCTCCAACAAAATCATGTTAGGATCATTTTCAGACCATGTTTCTGTTTTTGCATCTTCCATCAAAATCATCACCAGAAAAATGGCAGTATGTTCTTCTTTGATAATTTTTAACATGGAAAATTTGTGAAGTTGTTTTTTTTGTCAGAATTTACATAAAGATCAGATTCCAAAAAGGTTCACATTTATCAAATATATGGTAAGTTAACGATGTGGTATGCTACCAGAATTCCGTATTCATAATATGACAGATGTACGTTACCATCTAAACTGGCGAATATATTAAAATGTAAAACAAGAGAGTTATCGGAGTTGTTCTGATCAGGAATTGGAATTGTACTTGAGCTACAGTGTAATGTAATATAACCATCCTTATTTCATACAAAAAAACAAAACCAAAACAAAAAGTTAAACCCTAAAAAAAACAAAATAAAACACTTCCGCTCAATTTGATCCAACACTGAAGCTGTCGATAAATTCTACGCCAAGATTTTACTGGGGATGCAAAATTCTATGAATAATTAATAGGATGTTTCACATGTCAAGCTACGGTCCGATCACAAAACTCCATCTGTAACTTGCCCTTCTAATGTACATGACCGTCAAACCGCGTGTTAATACGGCTTTTCCCGAATAAACACAGCTTCATCCTCATCCAGTGATCTTAAGCCTGTTTTCCGTACTGCGACTGATCGGCCTACCCTTCCCTATGATTTAATCCAGTTGCAAACAGCTTTTAACATTCTCAACACGTCATATTTTTCAAAAATACGACCACACTTTTGATGCTTCTTTGCCATTGTCTTGGTCGAACTCTTGTCGACAGTTTCGAATCACCTCTGGCTTCATTTGTATTTTCTCAAATCCATGCACGCACGAAAAAAAAAAAAAGACAAATAAAACGAGGTCAGCCCCGAAAATTTAGCGACCGACGATACTTTGATCACATCATAGTCACTGTGGCGCTATGAACGATCTTCGAGAAATCTTATCTCGTAGAGACACGGCCACTTTCCAGGATTCCGCAAGAGCTGGGAACAAGAGTGACTTTCTAGAAGGTCTTTCGGTGTTTAACTTTGATCGAGTCTTACCGATTTATTTATGGGGAAGTGATTTCTTTCCCGGTGTAAAAAGCTACGTAAGTGAACACCTAACAGACCTTTGAAGGAATATCGTGCTTGTCCCAATCTATAACTTCATCTATATCAAAATCGGCGATAGCATTCGTGTCTGAATCCGTCGCCATTACCCCCACAGTTTCTTCGCTGAAAATGTGCGCATACTCAGTAATAATGCTGACCAGAGTTTTGTGCCCGCAATAACGAATCGCCTCGCTTCTATGTGGTACCTTAGTTTGATTCCGGGCGGGGAGGGGGAAGTTGGTCTCGTTTCAAGAAATGTCAGAGTTTTTTTGAAATCTTCGAGGATCTATACTGAACCACTAAGTGGCCTGTAATTAGAAATCGTAAAGGACTTGTACTTTGCGAAAAACAAAGAGGCCTATAGCTCACTTCAATCAGCAAGGAGCATCTTTTCTAATCACGAATCAAACCCCAGCCCACCCCCCCCCAAAAAAAGGCCTGTCTGTCCTAACAAACTCGTGTTACCTTACAAACTTAACATTCACGACAAAAATAGCACCGCCCTTGAATATGGAAATGAAATATATTTTCGAAGAAAGTGAATATTTTCGCATGCTTTCTCTCTTAAAATCGAATTAATCTTATCACGAGAACGTGCAAACTGTGCGGGGGTCGGAAAAAAAATTGTCCCTGAGTTTTGAAAGTCTCTTTTTCTTACAGTTCTTAAAGGCTATAACATTATAATCAAAAGGAATCATTTGAAAAAAAGAAGCTCAGTTAATGATGGGTCATTATGTATACAATAAAACCCTGACTGGGGCAAAGAATATGGCTACTTCACAATGTTTTAACGAAAACCAACTTAAAGGGATTTGTGCGGTTTGGTTGAAAAAAAAAACTTAAATATAAACTTACAACAGCATTATATGGCTAAAGAATCCTTTGTAATAGAGCACAAGAGATTACGTTGAACATAACAGTTCGAAAATAGTTTATTTGAAGTTATGCAAAGCGTATAAAATTAAAAGCTACAAATATCTACTTCAGTGCTATTTTTCTCTTTTCTCCAATATCTTAGATATGCATTAAAGAAACTAACGTTTTATTTGAATCCCTTGGATTTTAATAAACAGATAACCCATATATGGAATAACTTAAAGATGACTCTGCGACTTATGATAACATCATCTCCTTATTCTTTTAACTTTGGTAGGCTTGTCTTCCCATCTGTAAAGGAAAATGAAAAACACTTCTTCAGCTCTTGAGCAAGAGAACTACTTGCAAGAGAGTGGTGATCATTGTTAAGGACCAGGTGTGTTCCTCTGAAATAACTCACTTCTCCCTTGTGGATATTTCTTGTGAATGATGGAAGTGGGAGGGACCAAAAACTGCTACAAAACACACAGAGAATATATTACACTGAAACCATCTTGCGTGTTTGCGCAAGTGCTGGTGATATATGTGTTGATTGCCATGCAGTGGTAAAGTACTGAGAAGGCTCCGCAATTTTTTAAGTACGCTAGCGTGTTACATATCGGTTGGTTACAACGAGTCGGAATAAAGTTGACAGAAACAAATTTGTAACGAGTCTACAAATGCCAGAGGGCCTCGGAATATAAGCCAGAGAAGAACAGGTTGAGATCGATCTTTAAAGTACCTGAACAATTCATCTGCCCTTCTTTCATCTCTTTGTCGTTCAACGTCGGCCTGACAAGACATAAAACAATAGTAGATAATGATAGATAGTATGTACCAATTATCCTTCAAATCGTTTCCAGTGACAGTGTTGACAAGAAGTAAGTCTCACCTCTCTCGCCTCCACGAACCACTCGTCGTTATCCAAACGCTCAGAGGTCTGGTGCACAGCCAAATCACTTCCACCAATGATGCGCGGGAGACTGCTACGAGAGCCTGGGTAGAGTTGCTTCAAAGCAAAGTTTTTTGTGTTCATTTAAGATTTCGTTTCACACATGCCTCAGTAACAAATCAGTCGAATGATAAGTGGATAGTACAAGCCAATTGAGGAATGATAACTGTCCATATTTTGATCAGTTTTTCGTTAGAAAAGCCCATGAATCGGCAAAGCTGTTTCTCTCTGTTGTAATTACAATTTGACGCATTTTTTAAGACGAGAGGGGATGTAGGTTTCGACCGGAAGGAAAGGTGAGATAAATCGTTAGAGTTAAACGTTCTTCCTCACCGTCGTTTAATTTGCTCGGGCTTCCTGTTATTTTTCATTCAATTTCGCTACTTTGCATCTTCTTTGGGATTTTAAACTCTGCGCACACACCTTTTTAAATTTCTTGAAATTCTTGTTAGTGGTATTCTGCTGTGTCTTCTGTATAGCAGCAACAGAAATATGTGTTCGCACCACAAGCGACATCTGATTAACCACCATTAAATCCATCGGTAAATGAGACTCGTCATCTTGAAACACGTCATTTCTGCTCACCTGTGAAAAATATTTGATAATGTAGCTTGCTTAGCACCATATTCCGGGGAAAAGCTAGAGCGACGTTAGTTGAACATAATTAACACAACAGTAACTTCACTTTTACAACTTGAAAGTTAAAGTACTTGTTGGTCCGTAGTTAGCAAAGGTACTCTAAGCAAGTTACCTTCTTGTCATCAAGTACATTAAACAGGTGGAGTACTGTATATTTTCAAGATAGAGGCATATGAATTCGGAAAGGTTATAAGAATATGGCTCAAAAATTTCACAACCGAAAATTATACAAAAAATGAAAACACTAAACGAGCCTGTGATTGGTTGGATTTGGTATGACAAACTAGTTTGACGTGTTAGCATCAGCAACAACTATCACAGTACTTTTTCGACTGACAGACAGACGAAAATCTATGGGATAGGACTCGTCAAAGGCAAAATTTGGAAAACAATCCCATGCAAACATGGATGGTATCATTAAAATGTACTTATTGCTAATGTATTTTCATCTGAGAATAGGGAATTGATGCAAATTTACAAAATTATCCTAAACTTAAGACGTACTAACTTTTTGTTCGTCAATTTTCAGTAATTTTCATCAAAATCTTTGACACGATCCAAGCATTCTTAATAACTGCGAAACGCCAGCTTTTTATTTCGCGCATTGCATTTGCACAAGGCCGGGTTCACGGCCTCTCTGCAAACGCTTGAAGGGTCAAGGAGGTAAGTTTCGAAAAAAACTGTGGTGTTGCGTCGGTGGGAGAGTATAACAAAGTAATTTAGTATTATCAACTGAGTTGATAACGTAAATTAGCCACCGTAAAGAGTTTAAAAGCTGACGTTTCGAGCGTTAGCCCTTCGTCAGAGCGATTGGAGGAATTGTGGGTTGTGTGAAGAAATAAGGTGACGAGAAAACAAGAATAAATCAATTGAAGGAAATGTACTCGTTGATACCGTGGGGGTTAAGATTGCCGATTTGAAAGATAAATTTTTGCTCTAGAGTTTTGCGGCTTGAAGGGTCAGATTTCTTTCCTGAAAATTCTGCGAAATTCTTTTCCCGTCGGCTTCTTGTTATTCACTGTTTGAAAATAAAATTTGTATCTGACATTAATCTAGTTCAAGGCATGTTTAAGTCATATTGTATACAAACCTTTTGAGGAACCCTAGAGCAAAGGTACCCAGCTGGAACATATAGATTTTTCCACATATCCTCAGTACCTTCCTCATTATGTGCTTCTAAGCTGGATGGATTTTCTATCTCCAAAGGTAGTTTCACCAATTCACAAAAGAAGCCTTTATCTTTTTCTCCAACTTCCTTTGATTTCAAGTCCTCTTTTGTACAAAGCCACGGAGTACCACCATGTTCGACCTCTTTTAGATACATTTCCTCACAATCACGTAATTCATCGACTATCACGTGACTTTTCTCGCCAATATCCACAATATCAGCAACATTGTCAATGCCGTTCATTAAATCCTTTCTGTCCTGGGGTTTTAAGTCACTTTCCCTGGAGGAGTTACGTTTCACCTCCAAACTGTCCGCAACAACGCTGTTAGGTACCTCCAGAGCTAATTTAACATCATCCCATATGTTTTCTTCATGTTTGCTTACATCCAATGATTCGGCCACCAAACTCGAGGAATTCTCCACTTCCATTATTTTTCTTTTCTTTGCAGGCGACACACTGTAACTGTTCACAAATCTTTCGTTACTCGTGGACCTGAAACAAAAACATCATCATCACAAAGAAAACCAACAACAGCAGGAACTTAGAAGTAATATTCTTTCTAGAGAGTCAAAGCACTTTCCACTAAGTAATATCTCATATCCGTTGGAAAAATTTTCAGGATATTTAAAGCTACAAAAAAACCCAACGTTCAACCTAATATGGTAAAACATAGGGCGCCTTCATGACAAGACGGAAACCGCGTGCACTGTAAGTACCTCCCGGTGTCCGTCTGAGATCCTTAGAAAACTCTTATAAGGATTTAGTATAACGACGGGAGGGAACAGAAGGTACTTACAGAGCCCGCGGTTTCCGTCCTGTCATGCATTTCTACAGACAAACCGACGCACTTTTCTCGGGCAGGAGCCAAGATGGTTGCACAATTTTTATTGAGAATCTTTCTATAAAATGAATACGTGAAGAGATTTTCCTCTCTCCCCGTTCTTTTCTTTTTTAACAAGAATTCCTGGAAAGTCCCAAAAGTCACTTTACCTCTTGTTACATTCCACAAGCACCAAGTATCACCATTTTTCTTTTGTTTTTGTTTTGCAAACCAAATTTCTTGTTGTACATTTCGGGTAGTCTCTCATATACCGGGTTCTGAAATAACTAATAATTAACAGATAGGTGTAGCAGAAGGGTAAAGTAAGTGGGTACAAAGGATCAGTGAACAGTGGGCACAGAACTAGAGGAACAGTGGGCACAGAGAATTAGTAGTACAGTGAAATTCAGAGTCAGGCCCTCAAAGGTTCTCACCATGTAAAAGGAGCACACTCATCTAATTTTCTTTTATTTGGGGAAAATCTGTTAAATAGAAAAATTCCGGCGATTTTTCCTCATAAATAGATAAACTCACACCTCTTTTCACCAGTATTAACCGTCTTAAGTGTGTTGCTGCTCTGCTGCACATTCGAACTTTGGGTTCTGTCCTCTTTTTTGGCCCTCACAGGTATTGGTGGTTTCTTGAACTAATTCACAAAAAGAAATCTTTTGAATTACACAAATCAAATTGTTATCTTGATATCCCAACATTATTGACCTTCACAATCCCATCAATCAGCCAATTGATGAAGGTTTCAGATATCTGTACTGCGATCATGAGGCGTCACTGGTATCCCACCCCATAACTCAACATAAGCATTTGACATGTGGCCACATGACCAACCACATGCTTACACTGTTGAAGTTGCCAACCAGACAATCATGGCACTCTCGTGTGCCTGGAATTCAAATGACAACTAATCAATCAGTGTTTTGTCTGCTCATGTGAAAACAGTGAGCCAATCACTTGGGCTGGCTGTGATGAGTCAGACAGATGGTGGGTGTCCCTGTGACATCAGACCTTTTACTTCATCATCACCAACCTTCCTTTCCTCCCATTACCAAAAGTGAACACATATCTCATTGGCATTTGTGAAGTTCATTGAATAAATTTTCATGCCCTGTTTTAATGACCTGCTGAGGACTACCAGTTCACATAGCACTTTGTATCAAATGGAAAAGAGTTTTTGCAGACTTAGACTAATCCCATTTAATAAGAGTGGGAGCTCTTGGTATCCCCTGCTGACCACAATGGAAAGGTAGATAGGGCCTACATTTCATCGTCCTTATCAAAAACTAATACAATGTCTAACCATTTGTGGAATGTGATTGTTAAGGCAGCATATTCTCCTAAATTAAACTTTAAGAACCAGAGTACGAGTACAGTCCAGGGGTGACAGCCTTTTTGATTGGTAGTCTGACACTCTAGCAGCTAAGAAAAATGGTCAGAAGTCTTATCTTAATTGATTGTCTATCTTGATGGATTGATTGAGTATTGTCATCACCTAGGCAATGACAGTCCTAGAAAGAACTGCTTTCCTGAATGGGAGTCATCCTCAGATAAATTACTGTAATTCACTTGTCTCTGATAATGATTTCAGGTTCAGCCACTGTTACACTAAAGTCCTTTTCAGAAGCTGTCAATGAATCACAGCATGAAAGCACTGAATATTCTATTTTCCTCAGCAGATACCAATTAAGCCACAACATATATGTATCCCTACAGGTAGAGTGCTTTAATAACAATTTGACTCTGAGTTAGATTTACCTCCTGCACTGTAAGTTGTTCAGAGTAAACTCTCTCTGACATTACTTCAACAGCTTGAAAAGACTGGCTCACAAGATTCTGTGTTAAAGATGGAACTGATAAAAAAAAAAAAAGAGCAATGTAAAATGTAAGCAACCTTGTTAGCATAAAAATTATGTGAACATGACAAATTTCGAACCTGCTGCAAGGCTTGGATTACAGTACTTGTCCAGAGATATAAACAGTAGTGCCAAGCCTAGCTCAGATTCAGGAATAGGGCGACATTTGTTTCTGTTAAAATAAAAGACCTATTAACAAGATTCCATGGAATTATAAAATGCCTAAACTATTCTCTTGAAAGCAATCTATATATAAATTTATTTTCTTAATGCAACCTAATGAATTCATAGTAAGTTTTTAATCTGATTTTGCCTAGAAACAGCTACCTGTGCATTACAGAGAGGCTTTTTCAAGTGAAGATTGAGTGATACAAGTAACAAATAACAACAAAATATGTTGAGCTCTAAATCAAATCAAATGAAAAAACTCAACAGGATGCATTTTGACCAGATTCCTTGCAAACCCCTGGCAGTTAAAAAAAATTGTAAAACATTATAAAAGATCCTTGAGAGGAAACATGAACCCATACTAACCTTCTTAGAGTTTCAGTAACATGTAAAATCCACTGCTGAGAAGTAACAGGTAGTGTACTTTGATCTTTTGTGTCCACCATCATAACACAAACATTACCTGACACCAAGAAGTCATCATTCTCACTCCCAGGATTGTCCCTCAATAAAGTGATTCCACCGCTTGATTCCACAGCATAGTGTACTCTCTTGTACTAAAAAAAAGACAGTTAAGGACTGCATGTGGCTTCAGATATAGCACAGTTTTATGGCACTGAAAAGAAGTAGAGGTTATATAATGACACTAAAAGGTTGTGTTGCAGAGTATTTGTCTCACATGCAAAACAGAAAACCTGCTGAATCCCACATATCCATGAGTACCCTGTGCCACAAGAGAGAAATGATTCAAGAATATATTGCCTAACTGACATTCAACCAACAATTAAAAGGTAACAAATAATAAAATCAACAATGGTAATGATGATAAAAATAGTTCCATAATAATGATCAAAGGGGCTAGGTCAAAAGCTTAATGGTTACCCTATTCTCTAGGCTCTAGCAATGATCACCTACATGTAATTGTATTCTTCTTATAATTTTGCCTACCAATTATACACAGTTTTCTTGTTTTATTGCAATTCCATTTTATTAAGACTTTTGTTTCATACAAAAAGGCATTCTACATTTTAGAATATTCCATCACTCCCCATCTTAAGATATTCTGCCATTCCACCGATCCACCACTCCTTCGTTCCATCATTCTATTGAATAACTCAAGGTGTTGTATTTTGCAGCTTTCTCCATCATAAATTTAGTGCCTCTTATCAGCATAAGTCACTGATTAAAATGGTAAAGTGCTCTATTTTCAAAGAATGTGAAGATCGCATCTATTCAGATATTTCTGCCAGGAAAAGTTTTGATGTAAAATATTTGTCAGTGAATGCCACTGTGAAATTATTTTGAGATGTTTATCATCCATTAAATTCTCCACTTAGTTTCATGATACGCCAATAACACCTATTAAGGTATTTCTGCAAGGAAAACTTTCTCTAAGAAAAATTACCCACAATCCTGAAATCATTGTCAGAAATTTATCATCTTCTGCTGTCTTCTTTAGTGTCAAGGCAAGAACTGAAAACATGTGCTAGTGGCTACAGACCAGAAATTCTGAAAAGAGAGAACTCAACCGTGTGTCGAGTTCAAATGTCCAACTACAAAGATACTCAAAAACAAACAATATGTAGCACCAGAAAACATCAGGTCAAGATTGGAATTCTATTGTTACACTCGCTCACTTATTTTGACAACATACTTTATGTGGTTTTGCCACCCTACAGGAGGCAGTAGCCACAAAAATACACAACAAAACCTAAAAACAAAGTGTGACCACTTCGGCAACCATATCCAGATATAAATTACCTGTTTTTTACTGATGAAAATAAATGTTTTGCCTTTGAACAAAGTCTTTCTGGCCTCATTGGGAAGAAAACTGGCATCTTGAGAACTGATAGTCTCCTCTTTCAAGAGTGGGAGGTAGCTGCAGGCATAGCAAAACATTTTATCATTGATAGCCTTACACATGTACATTGGATAATAAAAAGGATCTGAACAGCCACTTGTTATAACCCAGAGGAGAGCACACAAATAAAGATGAATACAAAGGAATAGAGAACCTAACACAAATATTAACATTAAAAAGATCTCTAACTGAACAAAAATCTATTGCCTGAGGCCTATTAAGTCTTGAAGATGAAGTTTTGGTCCCATAGCAAGCATATCCCAAGCTGTACCCAAAATTTGAAAGCATAGAAACCTGGGGAGTCTTTTCCAACCTTTACTGAAGAGGAAAAATGGTTTATTTGCCACATAATGTATGTCATAAGACCACTTTCACTCCTTCTCCAATCGTACTTCAAAGTCAAACAGCATATTTTGCTCTGATGAAGGGCTAATGCTCGAAACATCAGCTTTGATAACTCTCTAAGGTGACCATTTTACATTTTCAACTTTGTTGATAAAACCAAATTACCATGCTGTCTTGGTGAATTTGTCTGTATGATTGATGCCAACAGAAAACTAAGAGATATTTGCATCCGTGCCTGTGCTTTGGAATAAATGAATCACATGCTATACCTTTCAGCTGCAGGAATAGTGGATCTTATATTCCCTGCTTCTATAACATCTCCAAAGTAAGAAGGCTTGACAATTGGCCTGCACTCAGCTAATGCATGAATGACCTAAAAAGGAGTAAGGCCATATTAAATGATATTACTTGCATGTTGATACCTGGGAAATAATGCTGCTTTGGCAAATCTCCTGTGGTTTCATATTACACAGTTCTTTATGATTCTCTTCATGTAACAGAGACTTAAAGAGTCAAAAGAAGCCTCTAAATAATAAAACTGTTAAGATAATTCCACCCTAAACTAGGTACTGGTACCCAGGCAGTCAAGTATATAGATTGCCTTTGTGGTAACCAAAACAGATGGTGAAATTTTGCAAATTCCCCCTCCCCCTGCATCTTTTCCCACCCAGATTTTCACTGGGTGCTTTTGTTGTATGACATCAATAATTATCTGTGTGTTCAACAATGTTTACTACTAATGAGTGGCTGGATCTCATCAGATTTGAAATTCATTGTTTAATTCAACTGCTGCCAATTGAAGGTAAGTTCCAATTTTTCAGCCATTGATAAAAGTTTTCCCATTCTCAATAATGCATATGTTTCACTTGTTCACCAAGGGTTACAACTCAAAAATAAAAAAACCAACCAATGAAAAAAGTTTCATTCCATTAAAAAAGTTCAAAAAAGCTAGAGGACTTTTAATCATACTATACCTTAATAGTAAATGTCAATTCATCCATCACTAGATGACTCACAATTCCTTGCCTCCAGTCATTCACTAAGTGACCTCCTGGAATTATTAAAATTATTTTCCTTGAATTAAAATAAGTTCTCTACAGCATAAAATGTAGTTATCCTACACTCCAATATGTCTCCATAACTAGTATCACACATACCATGGCATGAAAAAAAAGTGATCCAATGCAATTCAGATACTTAAGGATTTTTAAATCTTGAAAATGTTCCCTACTTCAAACAATGTATCAAATACCAAAAATTTTCTTAAAGATTCGTAAGGTTTTATTCGTTCATTCATAAACTTTATTAATCTGTCTTGAATATCTAGCTGACGGGGTTAAAAACCCCTCTACTAATAGGGACCCTTAATATAGTTAATAACCTACTAACTATTTTCTAATGAACTATTTAAAAAAAGCCTAACAATATAATATAGTTAAAAACCTATTAACTATTGACTAATGGGATAAATTATTAAAAGGAGAAATGATTAAGAATTCAAAGGACGCAATTGGAACAATTGTCATCTTCTACCATTAAGCTGAAATCAAATTTATGGATACGATTTTTAACACTAAATAATGATGGGAGGGTTCTAATTTTGCTTGGTAGCTCATTCCGCAACTTTGGTCCCAGGTAGGTGAGCGAATATTTACTATATTTCTTGGTCCTAAATCAGGGGATGGCAAACTCCACCACCCTTAAGTTGTAGGATGAACAATGCGTGTGAAATAGCTTGCATGTTGTGGTGGGGCATAGTTTGTGTTTCACCTTAGCATTATAGCATTATAGCATTATAGCATTATCTTGCAGTCTTCTGCTCTGAAGCATCATTAGACCACTCTTGTCCAGTAATGCTTGGTGGCTTGATTACTTATCTAGGAAAACTGCCTGTACTGCTCTTTCTTGAATCCGTTTGAGCTTTCTCTTATCAGTAGCACTACAGAAATGCCATAAGTCTATAAGTCTTTTGGGTCTTGTAATCACATGTCTTGGTCATTCGCTGATACTGCTGTCGCCACGCTTCATACTCTCAGCAGGTATCAGAGCAATCTCTTGTGCTGGACGAATAAAGCGTGGCTCTGTAGATCAACATAGCTAAGCTTGGATCATGTCCTGCAACTGCACATTTCCTCATACACTGCTTGACTGTCTGCCCCATACGTTCAATGAAACCATTACTCTGCAAGTAACGAGGGCTTGACTTGATGTGGTCAAAGCGGTATTAGTTTGCAAAGGCTGCATATTCCTTCGACGAGAATAGGGGGCTGTTGTCTGTCATAACGGTTTGAGGCACTCCATATTCGCTAGACACTTGCGTCAGAATCTTGGTGGTAGTGCTCGCATTGGTGCTGTGTACTTTCCGGATCACAGGAAACCTACTGTAGCAGTCTGCTATCAGGAGGTAGGTAGTAGACTGAAATCAATTCCTAACTTCTCCCAAGGTCCTTGAGGAACTTCATGGGGCAACAGTGTCTCACGTTGCTGGCTCCTCGAAAACGTCTGGCACACTTCACAACCCTGTGCTGCCTGTAGTAAATCTGAGGTTATTCCTGGCCAGAATATTGCTTCTCAGGCTCCGAGTTGCATCTTAAAACCAAAATGACCCTCGTGGATAGTTTGGAGGACTCTGCTACGCAATTTCTCAGGAACTATGAGCTTTCATGTCAAGCAAGCTGAAATACTTTGAATCTGCTAATTCCCGTAAGATGTCATTGACTGTCTTGCTGTACCACTGATTCCTCTTTATCACTCAGTAGAGATCTTTTGGATCAAGACATAATCATAAGGAACCATCTAGTTTCTTAACTGGAACAATCAAGTTAATCCACTCAGTGTGCTCCCTTACTTCTTTAATGACTCCAAGCTGGGTCAATCTCTCCAATTCTGCTTTGTAGAGTGGTTTTAGGCTGACTGCAACTTGGTGTGGTGGGTGTTGAACATCGGCGCATTCCTGCAGTAAATAATCCTTAGTTGTGGGCAATGAGTGTGTCCTTCCATTAATAGTTATCTTCTCTTTGGTGCTCCTTTGGATCACTGGTACCACTGGATCAGTGCATTTCTGAACTCTTGTAATTACTGGACCAACAGTGGTTTTAGCGGGCTCTTCCACGAGTGTTTTGATAGACTTATCTGTTTTAGCTTGGACAGCAGGTTTCTGGATTTCTGGATGAAGATTCCTGGCTGAGCCATAGCGGCGGATGTGAGGTTCTGATTTTGGATGATTGAGACTTTCCACTGTTACTGTCTTGAGGTGATGAATAGGTGCATTGAAGTAAATTGGCTTAGACTGGACTTGTAACTCATTAACATGTGCATCTTTACTCTATGATTTGCACAAGAAACCGTAATGCCCTTCCTTCCCACACTTGAAGCACTTTGCCTTCTTTGCCAGACACTCACTTTTGGGATGTGACTGTTTCGCTCCACAGTAGAAACAAGTTTCCTTCTTTGACCTTCCTTGTTTCTGATCATTGGAAGCTGGTCTTTTGTGACTGCTGTCTGTTCTGGCTGGCTCTTGATTGCCTGTTTCCTTGGAGTTTATGAACTTCCATTTGTAGTGGTTCGCCTTTGAATTCCGGTCGCATGTAACCGACTTGGTGTGCTGTGGCGTCCTGATTCTGAGCGATTTCTATTGCCTCTTCTAGCATCAATTCTGAATCTTTTTCAATGCATTTGTAACAGGACTTTTTTTTTCTTGTGTGCTCCCTAACTGACAGGTGTCAGATTGTGACAGATACTTGTAAAAATAATGTTTCAAAGTTTGTTTGGAAGCCTTTTAAATCACCTTTATCATTATGGAAATAAAAAAGGTTTCAGTGAGGCATCTCTCCTAAATTTGCATCACCTCTATTTTAACTACCATTTACTCACTCAAAAATTGTTCAGTTTATGGAAGATCTTGCCGTATTTGGGTTCTTTCAGAAAGAATTTCGTCAAGTTTAAAAAAAATAAATATGTTATTTACCAGCTAAGGGTCAGTCCATATGGTGAAAAACTGTGACCTCGGTCTTGAAATGCTGCCCTCGGCCGTAGAATTTTCAAGAACTCGGTCACAGTTTTTCATCATACGGACCTCCCAGCCGGCAAATAACATATATTTACTGTTTCAAAATGATCTGCGAATATTTCCACAACAGTCTCTTGGTTGCTAATGATCTTGCTGTCAACTTTTAAGTTTATATCAGTTCCCATGACCCCCTTCCTAGAGCCAAGAAACAGTTTAAAAATTTTCGAAAAATTTCTTGAGTTTTCTTTAAGGTCAGAAGTCTTTTTCTTCCAGTATTGCCATACAGCAATTCTTCTTTGTCTGACTGCCTCATTGCAACATTTCACTTTCTCTTCCCAGTTTTGTTGAGTCCTTTCATATAGATACTTCTTAAAAGCTCTTCTCTTTGCTCGGATGGCATTTTTCCATGTAGTTGTCATATAGGGTGTATCTTTATCACTTGCTCACTTCCAAGTATCTTCAGTTAAGAAACATTACACTTATTTTTATTGAAATGACAGCCACTATTAGAGTTTAAAGATTTTCACAGAGGTATAAACCATTTACACTAAGCAAAACCAAATAATTTTTATCGATTAGCATCAATGATAACATGATTTTGAGTGCACTTTACTATTATGAAGCTCAAGTAAATTTTTCAAAGACAACAAAATTGCACAAGCACATAGGGAAAGTCCAATTTGTAGTCTTTGAAAAGTTTCTAAGTGGTTATTTACACAAGAAACCATGCTATAACAATAATAATAATTTACATAAAAAAGGCATCACAGAAAGTCAAGACAGACAAAATGTTGACAGCATGCACACTACTTGTAATTTGCACTTGTGTTACATGAAAAAAGAACTCATTTTCAGCCAGTAAGAAACCTGTAATTTTTTCAGGTATGTTACAAATCTCCCTTATGATACATACCAAGTTCATGAATTTCACTTTTCAAAGCCTCTTTCTTTTTTTCATCAAGACATGATGTACAAACAATCAAAGGACTGTACTTTAACCTTAAAGAAACATTTTAAAAATCTGTAAGCCCTCATGGACAACAGAGGTGACAGTCAAAACTGAATGTGACAATTTTTAAAATACACCAAGTAATAGCACTTGACTCCCCTGTAATGGAAGTTTTCAAAATTGTTGAACTCAGAAGTAAGTAGGACAATACCCATAACAAACCTAAGGTAGAGTATAGACCAGCTCCCTTCTTTACAGGGGAGGTCATCTGACTTGGAAATCAAAACTGACTGTAACAAGAATCCTCAGCAGGAACTTTTTCTTTTGTGTTACACTTGTGAAAAAATGTTTTTAACTCATCTTTCCTCATCTGATGATGAGGCTCAGAATTTATCTTTCCTCTCTCTGTATCTTACATCAATCATCCAAGTATACAAATGTCCATGAACATTTAGATGTTACTAATGAATTTAAAAAAAATTGAATCCATAGCCAGATTATTCAATTCAGAAATCCAGTGGATTTGGTTTGACTGCATTACAAAAGCTTTCTAAGATTTCACTGGCTTGGAATCAATGGTTTTTGATTCATCTTTTTGACATGAGACATTTATTGATCTTTATTTTCAAGGTGTATTCATGGGGTTAAACAAAAAAAATTGAGGCAAAAAAACTGACCAATGTCAAATATATAAGACTGCTTCACCTGAAGAGAAAATAGCACTACCTTTATAAAGACTGTATATAGATCTCTCTCAATATAAGGGATTTAAGGAAATATCTTTACTACTTACATGTAATAGCTGTTATTTTTTCCAAACAATAATTCATCACCACTTTTCAAGTTAAATGTTCCTCTGATTTTAACCCCATTAACAGAGGTACCATATTTGGAGCAGTCCTGAAGAACCACTTGTGACCTTTTGTTTGGATCATTCTGTAAGATAAGTGTGAAGTAATTATAAAAGGAATTAAAAAGAGTAGCTGTGTATACCTCAATTATTTGGGGTTTCTTCCTCCTTTCACATGGAATTGTCAAGGAATATTTTCATGCCTTTTTCACACCTAAGCTCTTCACCCTTACCAAGGCAACACCAGGAAAACATAGAGTACCTCTTCAAGCTCAAATCCAGTCAATTTTTATCTCAATAATGAGGGTTTTTGATTTTTATTTCAAGGAGAAAAACTGCCAGCTAATTACTGTGGGTTTCTTCCACCATACACATGAAATTGATAGGAATCTTTTCATGCCTTTTTTTCTCACTTTAGCTCTTCACTCTAAGCAAGGCAACAAAATAGGGTAACTCTTGAAGCTCAAATCCTGTCAATTTTTTTCATCAATGAGGGTTTGTAATTTTTTTATTTCAAGAGGAAATGCTGCCAGCAAATGAAAAGAGGAAAAATTTATTCATTCATGTCAATAAAAATAGAAATATAGATCTAATTAAAGTGTGAAGTTTTCTGGTTGCCTTCTCTCAATACCTTAATACAATGTATAATAGTGACCATTCCAATAAGCATCCCTGTAACAAAACATGCCCCTATCCTGTTTCAGCAGTAGCACTGTTACCGATCACTGAGATCAACATGTAATTGCTCATTAATAGCCTCATTACAAAGGCCTTCATCTCAGTCTTTCAGCTATTATGTCTGTGTGAGTGCACAGTTCCTTAAAGCAAATGATCTCATCTTAAAATTTGTGGTGATTACTTGGCTTAAACTGTTTTAGCCTGGAAGAATTCAGGGACAGCAATTCCATTTTCCATTTTACTAAATCCTTTTCAAATAAGCATAAAGTGATCTGTCCCTATTAAGGACCCTGTTTCGAATAAGTGCCCTTCCTTTAGGTAACCAGAGTGAATAAGCCCCCCCAGGCACTAAATCAGATCACTGCGGTAAGTGTGAGAAATATAAGTAGCCAAATCATGATTGGTGTTGTTTTGCCTCTGATTAGTTTGAAGGACAATAAGATTTTTCTTGACCAACACCAGAGTGAGGTAAAACTAAAGCAAAGGAAGTCTGGCTTAACTTGACACTCCAATGAAAACTACAGTACTAGAAGTGAAGAAACAAGTGAAATAAACATTGATTACCAAGTGAGCCACATCGTGTTGAACTGTGAGAACACTGTGCTTGCGACTTATAGAAGCATCACCTTGTATTAAAATTGGGCAATCTAAAAACATAGAAACAACTATATTAATTCATAAAACCTGAGCTTGCATATGCAACTAATGACTTCTTTAACTCGTGCGGTAAAATCAAATAAAAGTAACCTCTAAGTATGATTAGAATATTTGTTTTTCAAGCAATACTAAAAATTTAGGCCACGAGTCATTCAGACTCGAAAGAAAACCGATGGAATTCTTCAACTGTTCTCAGAGTAAAGAAATATCGTTCCATCACCAACACTTACACATGCATGAAGCCCGATCAGCAATGAAACATTTATTAAATTCTATTCATGTCCATAAAACGCCATGGTAGGTTTGGAGCAGACTACAGCCGGTCGAGACTTACAAACAGAAAATCAACGCGACCAGCATCAGACTTACCCTTTCTTCCTACTACATGATCCACTCCTACCGTTAGCAAAATACCTGAAGAAAAAAACATGGCGTAGGTTTTCCGAGAAGGAGAGATGCAGTAGCTCGCTGTTAAGTCAATAAGTGAAATGAAGATAATGAGATACGGACCTGTATTTTCCAAATGTGAACTTCCTTGCTGACCTTGAAGAATCCACATTTGGCCGAACAGTCGAAATGTCGGGATAACCCGCCAACCTTGCAACGAGCTGAATTCTAACCGTCTGGGACTGGACTAAAGCCTTGCGTAACAAATTGGTGTTACATAGCCTGAGTCTCTTTTTGGAGCAAGAAACCCAGGTTCAAACGAGAGGCTATAGAACTCAGGCTTCAGGGAAAAGAGAGTTCGTTACTTATATAGCTTATAATTCGCAGTGTGTGCGTAAGGAGTCAGGTGCGCTGCACCTTCACACGCGGCCGATCACACGACCTTTTTAAACTGAGAGGCAAAAAGCGATACGTCAGTGACGGTAAACAAAGCCAAAATAAGAGGTTATGCTTCCGAAATCGAATTAGGAACATGACTTATAAAAATTGTTCTCGACCAGAACGAGTGCCAAACGGGAGAGATATCCAATAGGATCCCCAGGGGCATCGCTGTAAGAAAACCGCTAAACAACCTGAAGTCGAAGACAGATCTAACTGTGCCGACCCTGGCTGAATTTTGAGCGGTATGTCACGCCTATAGTGACCGAGAGCTGCCACTCAAAATTTTACAATTTTTCAAAGATTTAATGAAAAGTAAAAGAAAAAATAAATCAAAACTGAAAGTAAAATGGAACGTGACTGCAAAACAAAAGAAAAAGAACGATTTAAAGTAAAATGAAGTAGCAAGCAAATTTAAAAGCAAAAGTAATTGCATTATCAAAGTAAAAATCATTTCAAAATTAAACTGAAATCCAAGGGAAACTCACTTAGAAATAAAAAATAAACACAACATCAAATCAAAACGAAAGTCTAATTAAATATCGCTGTGGCCGAGGGATGCCACTGCCATGATACTGTGCGGGCGTGATTGTATGTCCCATCGTGCGTTCTGTGGTGTCCATTTACTCAAGTTGTGAAGTTGTTTTGATCTTGAGTGATTTAGAAGAGTTTTTTAGTATTTTGATGTCAGATTTCAGAGAGGCCTTGTGGAAAAATAAAGCCGATCTTAAAGAGGCTTTGCTGAAATATGTCAGGGAAGGATTACAAAGATGAGAGATGTTAGATTTCCTTACTCGTGACTTTCCGTTTTACGCGTGGAGTGTGATGCTTGATAGAAGGCTTCGTCATTTTGACATATTTTTCAGTGATGGTGCTGTTAAAGTAGATCATGTTATGAAAGCATTTGAAACTGAGCCAAACGGGCCAAACGTTGAAAATTTCCGATCGTGGAAAAAGCGATTGTGTAACGCTTGGTAAGCTGTAAGATGACATGTTATTATATACCAGACGTAAAAAACTCTTCAGATTCTCAGTCTGCATTTTGTACCCACTCTGCAGTCTACAGTCTATATTTTGTATCCGGTCTGCAGTCTGCTGTCTGCATTTTGTACTACCAGGTATCCGTGGCACCCATACAGTCTATTTTTGGTTACATTTATTCGCACAACACATAATCTGCCACAAAATACCTGTGTGT